TGATGTCAGAAGGTGAAATAAAGAGTTGCCAGAAACGTTCAAATCACAGATGAGTAACTCTTGAGCGCAGTTGTAGAAGCAGAAAGGTTAATCAACTCTAAACGTCTAAAGTACCAGTCAAGCGACCCAACGGATCTGAGCCCTCTAACTCCTAATCATTTCTTGCATGAACAGTTTGGAGGCAGATTTGCACCTGATAGTGTTGACGCTTGACCTATTAAGTCAAGAAAGAGATGGAGTCTCGTCAAAGCACTAGTTCGCCACTTCTGGCACAGATGGTTCCATGAATGGATCCCAGTTTTAAGTGCAAACAGGAAATGACGTAAAGATCAAGTCAACCTGAAGATCGGAGACGTTCGCCATATCCACAGATACGCCGCCGGTAAATTGGAGGTTGAGAAGGATTGTGGAAGTGTATCCTGGAAAGGATAGCAAAGTGCGCGTTGTGGACTTCCAAGTACGAAGTACTGTATTGCGACGACCGATAGTGAAACTTTGCCCTTTGGAAAAGTGTTGAGAACTTTAAGCGAAGTTATAGAGAACTGTGAATTTTAGTGTGCGGAAACTTTTATGATAATCTATTGGCATCCAGGAAATTTTGGTTCTGAGAAAATCGTCCGTACGGAGTACGTACTAGCCTGCGTGGCAGGTGCAAAAAGGGGAGGGAGAGGGCGAGGAGGAAAAGCACGAAAGAGGGGAAAGGGAAGGGAGCGCCTGCTATAAGAGCCGGTGTTTTTGTGATCCGCCCACCATTTTCTCAACTAATCCGATAATGTCACTGTTAATACGTGACCAATCACATGTACAGGGCTTCTCAGCATGGTCCGAGCTTAATTACTTTGTTTACCGGAAATTGTCAAGTTGAGACGCTTTTTTCCAGTGATATAGATATCATAATCGAGCGAAATGAAACATTTTTACTGTTCTTGCTCCCGCAGCAAACACGACAAACATAGACTGCGAGCCGGCTCTCATTTTTTTTACTGCTCGCAGTGTACGACAAACGATGATCAGTTTCGTGTGAATACAGAAGACCTTTTATCTTACAACCTCATCAAGCACCGTGATGATCACAAAGAACAGAACACTGGCCAGCCTGATACGCGAATAATGCAAGTAAAGGAGAATTATAAAGAATTGTCAAAACACTCAACGGATAGTTTTTACCAAAGCTTCAGCTCTCTCTTTGCAAACTATTTAAAACTCCATTCAAGACGGTATATGTTTCTGCGGAAAATGAGGTCTTTTGAATATCGGCATTGCAGATGTCTGGCAAGAATCGCAGTCGCTTTGAAACGCTGCTCGGTGTATGGACAAATCCAGTATACAAACCTCCTGAGCATCTCTGCCTGCTAAACAAGCTGTTACAGTTGGTTTTAGTTCGGTTTTTAACGTGAAGTTGCTACATGATTGGAGTAATTTTGATCTTCCAAAGTTTATGCCAGTAGAACACATTTTCTTGATGCCTTCGTCATGTTTGTCTCTCACACTAATACACGCCAGGATATACGCCAATAGGTTACTCATTACGGCTCAGCCAATCAGGAATTTGCGGACGCTAGGGTCCGCAGAAATGAAAAAAAGGGGGTTCTTATAGCAGGCGTCCCGTACCCTCTCTCCCCTACCCCCCTCCCTTTTTCCCTTTTTCCCTATCCCCTACCCCTTTCGACGCCTGCTACGCAGGCTAAGTACGTACGTACATCCACCCCTTCATGTAAGCCGGGATGAAATTTTGCATTTCAAGCACCTGCGCGTTTCGGCGGTAAATCGCATAGCTTCCCGGACTTTAAGCGATAAAAATAACAACAACAAAGCCGATTCTTTCTTTCGACTTAATTTTAATGTGTACATTGACGTGGATAACACAGAAAGAGCTCGAGCGCGCGATGAAAAACAAAGGAGACCAATTTTGTTGGAAGAAAGACATGAAAATTTTATAGCGGCGGTGAGAAAAAGGGGAAATACTAGCGGCCACCAAGGTGAAAATGAGCGGCAGCGAAAACATGAAGTGAACAGGAACACATAAAACGTGTAAATGGGAAGTTTCTGGAAGTTTCGCGTTGTAGTCGAGCAAAAAAACGGCAAAGAAATGTAAAAAAAAGGTGTGCTGCACGTGAAAAGCTGCAATTTTGCTTATTAGACCTACTAATTTTTTTCGCTGTTTTCTTTGCCCGTCGCCGCTTAGCATTACACTATTTTCCATTTTACTTGAGTAAACTATATATATTAGACTAACGAGAGCTTCGCCTTTAGCCCTGGCTAAATCTTTATATAGTATGCTCTGATTGGTCAAAATTTGACTGGTGAGTTCATGCGGAAAATTTATGCAGTATCTGGAAACTTTCTTACTGATAGCCTGAAGCCGACAGAGTTTTGTGTCATCTTGTGATGGTTTTTTACCGTCATTTTCCAATGGATATACGAAATGAAACACAGCTGCTACCGAGAATATTTTGTTATTCATGGTTTGTTTGTCAATTGGGTTTTTGGTTCAGAAATA